CTTTTGGGAGAGCCTGCGTCAAGTCGAGCTTCGTGTCAGCCTGGAATGGATCTTCAGTTCAGGGTTTAGGGTTTAGGGGTTTAAACCCTAACCCCTAAACCCCAAACCCTAAACGCCAAACCCTAAAACCCTAAACCCTAAAGCCCTAAACCCTAAAACCCCAAAGCCCAAAACCCAAAGGCTCTGCTCGCCAGGACAAGGTCTTCAGCATCGTCGACAAGGACAACTCGGGCCAGGTCGACATCGAGGCGTCCCTGTGCCAGTTGTAGGGTTTAGGGGTTTAGGGGTTTAGGGGCTTAGGGTTTAGGGGTTTAGGCTTTAGGGTGTAGGGTTTAGGGTTTAGGGGTTTAGGGTTTAGGGTCATAAAGAAGCCTGAATATTTGGGCTCCTTATTATAATTATAGTATGATGGGCCCCAAAACCCTATTCTAATTGTTAAGGCCCCTTATAATTATAGTATAATGGGCCCGAAAACCCTATTCTAATTACCCAGAAACTCCAATATCCCTTAATTAAGGAATAAACCTTAAACTATAGTACAATCCTTAATATGATTTAAGGTATATTCCTTAATTAAGGGATATTGGAGTGTCTGGGTACTAAGGCCCCTTATAATTATAGTATAATGGGCCCTAAACCCTAAACCCTAAACCCTAAACCGAAAACCCTAATCTAATTGTTCAGGCCCCTACATTACCGCGAGGTGTAGGCTTCGGCTCCAGTCGACTCCATCCTCCGCGGGGGTGTGACTGTGGCTAGTGCAGCACTTTGAAGTTAGGGTTTAGTGTTTAGGGTTTAGGGTCTAGGGTTTAGGGTTTAGGGTTTAGGGTAGTTTTCTAAAGTAGGGTCCCTTTTGGGGTCCTTTTTATAAGGGTGCCATACTACATTCGGGACTTAAACAGGGACCCTAATTTAGAGAACTACCGACATATTTCTGGCCGAGCCCCAGTTATGCAAGCTGAGCATGATGGCTGATAATGCGGTATCATACAGTGTGAGATATTCATGAGTGTAGATGACTTAGTCTTTCAGTTGCATTCTAATAGTACGCATGTCTACATGCCGTAGTCTATTGCATGCGCAAGCGAAGTGGCATGCATGTAACCATTGTTTGCCGTCATGTGATTTGGTTGCGTGCTGTCGGACATCGTACTCTTGAAGAAGCCTCCATGCCTGTGTTTCTTTGGGCCGCGCCATCGCGCCACAGGAGCTCAAGGGCATGTTCAAACTCTTCAACGTAGAGGCCAGCTTCCTCGACAGTACCTTGGAAGGTAAAAGTTTGTGGCAGTTGAGTCGGGTTCCTGCCCTTCGCAAAGCCTAGGAGCTACAGGACTGACTACACTGTGTGAACATGTTGCTGGTTCCTTACGTTGCGTCAGTAGTTGGGGAAGTTAGCGGAATTGCCTCGCATGTCTGTCGGAAGCTTGAAATGGGGGTTTCAGAAAATTGGGGGTATCTCGTTTAGAATAAAGAAGCTCACAAAGGGTTTTTGTTACATAAGGTTCTACATAGTGTCCACTGTTCTCTCAGATTACGAGAAGTGCTGTTGATAGATCCGGCTTGGAAAACCGGATGGTTTGCTTTTAGGGTTTGGGGTTCCGGTTTGGGGTTTAGGGCTCAGAGTTTGGAGTTTGGGGTTCAGTGGATACGAGGCAGCCGGTGAGATCGTTGCTTGCTTCGGCTTTCCGATTGCTTTGCCTTCGTGGTGCGGCTTGCGTGTTGCCGTACATCGGAGTCGGAGTGACATAGAAATAGTACACGTTTATACTCCCGATACAGTTCGATCATAACAGTTAGCATTCCCCAAAACCCTGTTCTTAATATAGCCTCTGCCTTATGCCCAGCAGGCTAAAGTCTTGTGTAAGTGCCGGGTCAAGCTTAGGACACCTCCAGGTTGTGTCGAAAATGTGGATAACACTCCAAGGTGCCATCTCCAGAATCATGTCCAACGTCGACAAGGAGTCGAAGAAGTGCATCGACAAGGGCTTTTCCATTCTGCTTTTCCCCTTAAGCCCTAAACCCCAAAGACCCTCAAATGCTGAAGAAATGCTGAAGCCCCAAACCCTAAACCCTAAACCCTAAACCCCAACACCGTAAAATCCTACACGACTGTCGACTCTTGGCCCCTAAACCCCAAAGACTCCCAAATGCTGAAGCCCCAACACCTTGAACCCTAAACCCCTAAACCCTAAACCCCTGAATCCCTAAATCCCTGAACCCCTAAACCCCTAAACCCCTAAACCCCTAAACCCCTAAACCCAAAATCCTGCACCTCTGATCTTCAACCCTCAAGCCGAGTTGACCCGGAGTTGGATGATGAAGGGTTCAAGGGTTTGGGGTTTCGGGTTTGGGTTTAGGGTTTAGGGTTTAGGGTTTAGGGTTTAGGATTTAGGGTTTAGGGTTCAGGGTTTGGGATTTCAAGTTGTTATGGCTGAGGGATGTTTGGGGGTTTACTAGGGCTTAAGCTTCAAAGCCCACACCCTCAACCCAGGTCCAGAAAAGTGACAGAAGGTGCCTTACAGGATTCTGGGTTATCGGTTATAGTACTGGGGTTTAGGGTTGAGGGTTTAGGGTTTAGGGTTTAGGGTTTAGGGTTTAGGGTTTGAGGTTTAGGGTTTAGGGGTAGGCATGAATTCTGGTCGGATGGTGCGTACACAGCAGGACTACTCGCTGCCTTTCGCAGTACATATACTCTACCCTCAATGCTGGTGTAGGGTATGCTGGAGTTGGGGTTGAAAGGAGGTTTAGATGCCTATAGGTGCATGGCAATCCAGAGTCCCGAACCCCCTTCAAGCCTGTAACCCGAAGGGCTCCAAACTTATTCTAAGCCCGTAAACTGTGCCCAACCCTGAAACCGTATCATCCCATAAACCCTGTCGCATAAAACGGCAGACATTCCCAGTTTTGAGCAGCCCCTCGAACCCTGCTGGAAGCCCCATGATGAGGACCTGGACTACATGATCTCTCCGCAGGAGAGGAAAAGGGCTGAGAAGGGGGCGAAGAATTGACTCAGCCTGTGGAGGGAGCACGGCCAAGGAGTTGCTGTATGTACTATACTAGACGAAGCTATACTATGCTATGCTATCCTATAATACACTACACTACACTGCACTACACTATACTACACTATACTCTACTCTATTCTACTCTACTCTACTCTAGTATACTTTGTCAGGGGTTTAGGGAGGGAGGACTCGCGGGGCTTGTTCTTTTGTCTTTGTGGTTGAGGGTCTGAGTCCTAAACCCTGATCCTTAACAATCCTCAACCCAAACCCCTACAGAATCCTTCATAAACGCCTTTCAGAACAACAGAAACCCTACTGGCCAGCAGCGCAGCCAACTCTTTAAATTAACGACAAGCACCCCGAAGAATCCAACTAGGTGGGATTCTTCTCATTATTATTGTGCTCGTTCTCGTTGTTGTGATTATTACGATTACTATGCCCTTTATCATTATGCTTGTTGTTGTTATTAATATTATTGTTGTTGTTATTTGTACTCTACGAGCTTACAACAGTAGTGAATCCCTCATCGGCAAAACCCTATGAAATTTTGGGAGCACCACCGGGAGGTCTACGTCTACATGTCCGCGAGATATGGGATCCCGGTATACACCCTAATCTTTGTCATAGTTGGGTAACATTTTACATTTTTAAAGGTACTTAAACCCAATAAGGAATATAAATTAAAATTTTTAATACTACCCCAACCATGAACTAGTAATATCAGCAGGATCTCGATTGTTTTCTAGGACACCCAAGCCATGAGAATGAAAACCTAAATCCTAAACCCTAAACTCTAAAACCCTGAACCCTGGTTTAAGGAAGCCCTATACAACCCTGGATGGTACAGGAAACCCCGATGTTAAAACGCAAAGAACAGAACCACGAGTTTTAAAAACACCCTGCAGCACGCTAACACGAACGAGCTTCTTACCAGGCCCTCATGAATCCCAGGATAATCAGGAAGCCGCAGGAGTCCTTTGTAAGCAAGCCCGACAAAGCCTTGACGCCTCAAGGGAGCTCTATACCCATAGGCCCCACAGTAGTTCCTTTTTGGGGTTCCCTAATAGGATCCTAAATATAAGCCACAAAAAGGAACTACTATGGGGCCTATGGGTAAAGCCCATAGAGACAAAGGCCCATCCCAATCGCCTGGACCCGAAGCCTCAACTCTAAGCCAAGCGCTAAGCCTAAACCGTAAACCTGAACCCTTAACCCCCTGAACCCTAAGCCCTAGACCCGAAACCGTTTAATGTAGGGGCCGACATAATTAGCAATACTCCCTTATTATAACTTTAGCATAAAATACCCCCCCCAAAACCTTCTTCTTACCATTAATACTAGTTTGGGGTCCCTTATTATAACTTTAGTATAACATACCCCCAAAACCTTCTTCTTATGATTGAGGCCCCTATAGAAAGGACGCCCCATGGAAGCCCAGGAGTTCTACCAGCTCCTGTCCCAGAACCCTAAACCCTAAACCCTAAACCCTAAACCCTAAACCCTAAACCCTAAATTAAGGACGCCCCATGGAAGCCCAGGAGTTCTACCAGCTCCTGTCCCAGAAGTTCGAGAAGGAGGACTCAGAGGAGGAGATGAAGACGGCCTGCTTCCCAGGAGTCGTCGTGGTAACCGTAGCAGGTTTTGGGATTTGGGGCGTAGGGTTTAGGGCTTCGAGGTTTAGGGGTTTAGGGTTTAGGGTTTAGGGTTTTAGGGTTTAGGGTTTAGGGTTTGCCACCATGGTGATGACGATCATGGTGGTGATGGCGGTTTGGAAGGATGAGCGTGAAGCTCGTGGCGACATAGTATCGCTGATGGGCACGGCTTTGACGGTGATGATGATGATGACGATGATGATGATGTTGGTGACGATCATGACCATGATCATGATTGGAGGTGGTGCTGCCAGAATTGCTGAGGGGGCTGACGGTGCTGAGGGTGCAAATGGTGCTGATAGTGATGACCCAGAAACTCCAATATCCCTTAATTAAGGAACATACCTTAAATCATATTAAGGATCCTACTATAATCTAAGGAATATTCCTTAATTAAGGACTATTGGAGTCTCTGGGGATGGTGATGACGAAGGTCGGCCGGCCCTTCGACAGCATGCGCCTCTTGCGCACATGAACCGATGAAGGACATCTCTGATGTGTTCAGATAGTAGCCTGTCATTTTGGAGAGACTTCCTGCAAGGCCCCCAAAACTTCCGAAGTTCATGTTCTCACGGCAGCACACAGCGTGTCGTCAGAGGATGCGCTTGGGTTTGCGGACCAGCATCCGAGCGCCGAAGGGTAGGGGCACTAGGCTTGACGACGTGCGCGCGTTCGTCGGGCGGCCTCCGAGCCCCTAGCGAGGAGAGATAGAGAGAGCGATAGAGAGAGAGAGAGAGAGAGAGAGAGAAAGACCGGCCATGGGGATGTTGATGTCAGGGCTGCTTGGGGTGTTGTTGTTGCCGCTAATTTTGATGATGCTGCCGGTTTTAGTGCTGATGATCTTACCGTCTGTTGGTGATTACTCATCAAAAACTCTCTTTGTTAGTGAGGTCTTCCGTCGCATGGACAAGAACGGCGACGGTCACTTGGACTTCGACGAGCTACACGAGGCCCTTGTGTAGAGAGCTTGATTTAGAGGGTTTATGGGTTTTGAAGGGTTGGGTTTAAGGGCTTTAGGGTTGGGGTTTAGGCGTTTTTAGGGGTTAGGGCTTAGGGCTCCAGGGTTTAAGGGCCTAGGTTGGGGTCACCCAAGTACGTGGATTCACACTGGAGAGCCCCCTTAGCCCGACGCAGGTCTTCAGCTTAGCTGCAGCACCCGTCGATCGAAACTCCGCTTCCCCTCAACCGCAAACGACAAACTCCCCAAGCCCTATAACCCTAAACCTAAAGACTCAAGGACCCCGTATGGCCCCTCCTACCCCTCCCACCCCCCCACCAACCCTACACCCTAAACTGTTTTAAACGAAACCCTGAGCCCTAGACACTAAGCCCTTGGTATGCACACTGCTCTGCCCCCTCAAAGCAAGCCCGAACCCGAAACCCGGAAACCTAAACCCTGCGCATTAAACAAAAACTCTTAAGTTAGGGTTTAGGGTTT